ATGATAACTGGGGACTTGAAGATTTGTGAACGGATAGGATTGTAAAAAAAACGATTTCTCTATGATTGCTATAGCTGTGGTTGGTACGCATACTATTGTTTACTACACATTACTATGGTCCATCACAAAAACACTGTTGCCAAGATGTGGAAATGTCTTGGACTTATGTAATCTCTATGATTGACTTTTTTTTTGATACCCGCACATTCCACTTGATAAGTCCGAATAGCTGTGATTACCATTTAGAAAAAAAGAGCCGATTATCAGGGTGGAATTAAATTTGATAAGCCTAAGTCATCTAATCAAAAGAAAATGGACCCATATGGAGCCTTATACCAGAAATTCGTGCGTCGCGTTCGATTGTATAGAAAGTATATAGTCTCTTATGAAGAAGCATGAAGGACCGTTAAAGGTAAACCCTCTTATTCAACCTACTTGACCGAATCTTGTAAATCAAAGATAGAACACCAATGTTAACGAAAGCACTATCTACGAATATTTCGTGTATTTCTTCGAACAGTGCTTGAGATAATGCTGGTCGAGTCAATTCTGCTTGAGATTTCGAAAATAGCTTAACCAAGGCGCTCCCACATATATTGCACGACATCACTAGGGGGAAAGGACGAGCCATTACATTCCTTCCTGACAGACTGCGTTAATAGCAAGTCCGTTATCTTCCCAATTCCCCGATGCTAACATAAAAAGAAGAGACACTAGCAACTCAGTAAAAAAATTTCTTTTAGACGGCGACATATGAAGAAACGATCCCTTTCGTTGGACAAAGATTTTCCACTGCACTCAAGTAATCTCTCGAAAGCCTAAATCTCTGGCTACTGCGCTATGCGGCGTTTTCTGAAAGTCTTTTTTATAACGCTTCGTCAAAAATAAAACATTTTTGTTTCACATGAGCATATTTCTGGCAGCACAGAGCTCTTCTTTCAGACTAAAAGTTTATTTTTTTCGATTCGATAGCGTAAATTTCCATGATTCCAACGCTATAGTTATGTTCTAGTGATATCGTTTCACTGCAGCGTAACAGGAAAAGTGAGACCGAGTTTCACATAATCGGCGCGCTTGTTAATCGGCAAATCTATGGTTGGGGTGTCTGGTGGCCCGTCGATTCGATGCGGTGGCCCGCCATCGATTGGATGAAATACGCACTCGATTGGGGATTTTTTTCCCTCCATTTTGAAAAAAAAACTCCAGATTGAACCTATGAGTCTGATACTACGAGATTCCCTCTACACGCTGATATGCTTTTCATGCTGATAGATGTGGTAAAATTGCGCTTCAATGTAAAGAATAATTTTATTTTGAATTTCACAGCGTTATGAAATGACGTATTCAAAAACCGACACGTATGCAGTAGCAAGAAATTTGCGCATCCGAATGATTACTAACACTCTTATGAAAAGTTCTTATTCCGAGAAAGGGGTCGTTTCTTTTTGGCGCCGTTTAAGAGAAAAGAACCAAAAACTCTAATCTGTTCTTTACCTCACCACTGCATGTAAACTGAGTCGGTTACCCATTCTAACACAGTCACCACAACGCCTCTATCGTGATGCCCAAGGGATGATGCATGATTTATACTTCTCGACGAGGTCACTCCGGTCCCAGTGTACAGCGATTCGAAGCTGCCCCAAATCTCGTTATATCGTAACAATTAATTTCTGCGATGTGAAAGAACTTCTGCACTTCTCCTTATCTATGCTTACTTCATGTTCTATGCATCCTCTTATGTTTTCAATAAATTTACAGATTTTGAACGCAGTGAAAAAATTGTCGTGGGTATACGATGTGGAAGTATTGTGATGTTTAGGTTGAAGTTAAAGGTCTTCTCATTCTCTCTAATGCCAACAGTATCAAAAGATCAAAAATGAAAAGACGGAGCACTTAACAAAAAGTTCTGCTGCACATCCCATGTGATGCTAGTTATTCGAGGTACAGGTGTTTCCTGTATCTCTTCATCAAGCACACTCCCTTCAACACCAATAAGCTCCCGCCAAAAATAATAAACTACGAGAGAAATGATCAGGAGGACACCTCTATCTGGACGAGCTGCTGTTCACATCTGCATTGAATAGACTATCAATAGAGTGGGGAAAAAATTCTGAGTGATAAAATAAGCCGGTAGGAGGAAAACGACCTCTCTAGGGTCTTAATGACCACTGTATCTTATTATGAGTGACCTCCTTAGAGGTCATTTCGTCGCGAATGTACGCCAAGCAATCATTCATTTCAAATGAACAAGACGCATGCAATAATTGCGCCGTGGTTGATCGGCTCTCACATGTGAGCAAAAAAGCTTAGAATTGACGTAGCGCTTTCAACGCTATAGTTAAGAAAACCACATGCAATCATGGAGGATTTCTGGATGTTTATTTATAGCTCATCATAGATACGATAAAAATTACACATGGAAACATAAGAGGAAACCTCTAAATGCTCTTTGATGCTTATTAAGCAAAATATTCCGTAGTCAGAACACATAATTAGACATATTGAAACACTTCTTCCACTAAACTGATCAGAGCGGCGTTCGTGGATGATAAAAGAAAGCTCGTCAAAAAACAACATATAGAGTAGCGGTTACTAACACAACGCACTAGAAAGCGAGATGGTAAACAATGCACTAATTCGATCCTCTCCCCCAATATCATCTTGCAATCAGTTAGCTGAATTACAGGAAAGTATCAGCTCGGGTTCACCCGAGATTTCAAGGAGATTTACCTAAGCAGCGATCTACGACATTCATGAAAAGGCAGTCTTCAAGCAGCAGGTGAAAACACGCGATCTATTCGAAGACCTCTGTGGAGATTGAATACTAGATGGAATGCTAGAAATACTTGGATGCACATGATGAGATGTGATATACGCGTGTTAATGTAAATAAAATTTTAGAAAATCCATATTTCACGGTCTGCAGGCGCTTTCAGAGGTTTAATTCAACTTAATGCTAGAACTTATAAACGGCTAACCGGTTTCATTAGAGAAAGTCAATTTAATCAGAAGCCGATGCGGTTAGCCTACGATAAAAACTAGTGGGGTGAATGCACCTAACACGCGACTGGTTAATAAAACATCGAAATTTTCAGCATAGTTAGACAGAAATGATGAAACCGTGAAAACCACAATTTTACGTTCTTTTATCGTAATAACGTTTTCCCATCCGTACTACCAGCATGAGATCTGAGGGGAGTGTGGCTCTGATGAGGCGGGAGAGACCGCTGTAACATACATAAGCCAGTAACGTACCAACCTCGCAATGGCTTGAAACAGTCTCGCTAAATACTCTGAATAGAATGGTGAATATTTGATGTAAGTTGTTACCATGCAGTTAAAAGTTGACGTGATAAGTCCTATCTGCTTAAGTTAACCGGTTGACTTTCGTGGACCCACGATGGCGGGTACGCCCACCTTTTCTGTCCCGATTAATGGCCGACTACAGTACTCCTTCTCGTTCTCGCAAGACGGCACGCGAATAAGTCGAAAACTTAGCTGCGGGGTTGCAACAAAAAGTAGTCGTGTAGTCGGCGACTAATCGAAGCAGAGGAGCTGGGTTCGTTCCCACGCTGAGGGTCACGCCCAGCATGGGTCCGCGAAAGTCAATCGGTTAAGAAAGCGTTTGAATAAGCAAAATGCTTGTCAATTTGACTCTTTCAAACTCTGAACAAGGTTTCACCACCGGAACATCAGCCATTGCTATTGCCTGTATTTACAGAATAAATCATATGAATAAAAACATCATGCCCTCTCATCGAGAAAAATACAGAATTATTTGTATAAATTCAAAAACTTCCGCATTTTTTCTGTTTTTCAAGGAAAATATGAAGCTACAGAAATACACCTAAGAATGCTGATGAGTACGCAAAACATCCGACACTTGGCAGGAAGTGAACCCGCGTTCTACTTATACCAGGGGCGCATGCTACCACTAAATCACCGATGCCGCCTCTCTGGTATCATCACTTTCTTAACACAAACTATAGCAGTTGCCGGCAACCAACTTTAACGGGTTTGGTCTGGTAGACACATATAAGCCTTGAACCCCGTTAACCGGTCGATTCCGCGGACCCTAACTGGGCATGTCCGCCAGCATGGGAACACTCCACCTCCTGTGTCCCTGTTAGTCGCCGACTACAGTATTGTCCTTCGTTGCAGCCCGCAGCTAAATTTTGCGCTGGGTCTTGCAAAGAAAAGCAAGTATTGCAGTCCTAATTACTAATTGGGGAACAGGAGGTGGAGCGTTCACACGCCGGCGCACACGACCAGTTAGGGTCCGAGAAAGTCAACCACTTCAGTTGATAGTTATTGGACAACGGTGGCATTTGTGGCGTTGTGGTACATACGATCCCGATGAGGGTGAAACGTGCACTTAACTCTCGCTGAAGTCGAATGTGTTTCATATCACGTAATATTTGCTCAATGCCGAGATTAGTCGATAGTTGGTGCTGGGAAAGTCAACTACACCATCCCATAGCCCCATCGCAAGTACACATAACATTTATTCGAGCACATACAAAGTACGGAAGATTACAAATTAGCACATACATCGTGAAATCTTATCAAAGCTCTATAAAAAATGGTCCATTCATTAAAGTCGTTCAAGAGGCGCATTTTCTTGAGGGAAAGAGTAGCCAACGGAAATCATGTTCGAACTGTTTACTACTTATTACCAAGGCGACAACCGTGTTCATCTCTAGGTCTGCACGGTATCCGTACGTTCGAAATAAAGTCGTAAGATTCCGGCCTGAGGTTCGAGGTCTTACGTATCGCAGCTGTTTTACGTTATGTTATATGTTTTACGTAGTTGAGTTGAATAAGCTGCTCGCACATGTTTGCGTCGTATTCGTCCCAAGCGCGTGTCAAAACCGAACCGCTCCGTAATCGCCATGATCGACGTGAACTTTTTAAGAAGGAATTCATTGTATTTGACCGCGTACTGCGGTGGCATGATGTCCTAATAAACCCAATGATGTAGAGTGCTGTGCAAAAACATTCGCGTCAGCCAAGATTCGAACCCAGATCTCACTCTTTCCGGGAGTATATGCTATAACCGTTGCACCACCAATGCTTTCAAGGAGGGCCAATAAAAATCCGCAGTAGAAAAAAATCGTAGGCCATAGTCATTTTTCGGCGTCTGTGATGGTCTTTTGCGCCACCAGAAAGACGCCATTGGTCTCCGTATTGGTCTCCGTCAACGGAAATGTCAAAATCGACGCTGCAAGCTAGGGCGTGTGGCTCCGACAAGCAAAGCGAAATCGCCAAAGCTTCTGCATACCGTTGAGTACAAAACCTCGAAACTGGCTAAATAAGCCATCCCGAATTCTCCAAGTTTTACAAACGAGTTTTCAAAAATTCGAGATAAAGGTTGATAAAGGATAAAGGATAAAGCTCTCGGCGTTGATCAATCCCTGAGGGATGCGCCATGCATTCGACTTCAATTTTTAACTTCGTTTGAGGTGATTGAATGCACATCTGGCCTTTACAATGACTCGCGGTGGCCTCCCGCTGAACCGAGTCAGTGCTGCTTATCCTCCCAGACAAGTCCGAGACCTGTCTGGTACCAATTTACCGACCCCGGAGGGATGAATGGCTTGGTGAGCCATGAGCGCGAGATCGAACCAGTGACCTTGTGTGTGACGCAGGGCACCTCTAACCACTGCGCCACATACGCTCTATAAAGCGCTTTATGAGCGCCATAAAGGTTGATGGCTGAATAAATCTACTTTTATCAACCTCACATTTATCTGTCAGTAAACTGAAGATGATTTCCAAGTGGTGACAAAAAATGCAGAATTCGTTATGCTCTAGAACATATTATCTTAATGCACTTTGATAATTACTAAAAATTATTAGTTAACAGGTTTTCTTGATGAGCCAAAACACGAGGCAGTTCTGGCAAAACTTATTTGAATAACTGACGTTTCGGCGAATTTCGTCTTCTTCAGAGCCTCTTCGAAAAGTCAGGTTGTCTCCAATGTCGAGGCGAACCCTCTGGGAACCACCGTTGATAGACAAGCGACGTCGCTAGCGCAGCAGCGGCGCGATCGGCCTTGCGACTGGAGCACGTAATCTTCCCAAGGGTTCTGGTTTCGTAATAATACAAACTTATATCATCACTTAAAAGAACTTAGTCATCAGTTAAAATGGATCTAAAATGAACACACTTCAGTAAGGCCATTTTCGGTTAAAATATGCCAAAACAAATACAAAATAATGCCTGCTTGTAAAAAATGATACTACATATTGCAATGCAATGCTGCTTCATCGCCTAATCTCGAGAATTTTTTTATCATTACTATACTTTAGGAGTTGCGATTTCTATAAATAAATATCGAAGAGACTTTTCCAATTATTTTCTGATACGAAAATTACTCATCGCTGTAATCTTTGCCACTTCAAGCGCTATACTTCTAGTTCAGTAATCTGTCGAGATAACCTCCTGTACCTTGTTGAGTTGCCACCCCTGCGAATAACTTCAACGAGAACACGTGTAAATAGTTTGGAAGGCCTATCAGACAAATAAATTTGCGGCGGAAAGAACGCGTCCATTACAGCTGAGTGTGTTAAGACGTCGCGCAGCGTGCTACGAAACGTAGCACACGGTCCCAAAAGTGTTAACAGATAGTCGATCTTCGGTATCACTGTGCACGATGTCTATAAATAAATATCGAAGAGACTTTTTGCAGTCGTAAAAGCAAATGGTCAACCTTACATTTTCCTATGTCCTTTGGGATCTACAAATTAGAAGCGATTATTAGAAAAACGTCTGTACAATCGATTTCGTAAGCATCGCCTTTTCACAGTAGCAACAACACTGAAGTGGTTATAAACACAGATCAAGCACAAAAGGTGGTGTAGTGGTAGCACCCAGGTGGTGTAGTGGTAGCACGAGCCCCTTGGAAAGGTGAAACGAGAGTTGAACTCCTGCCTTGGGTCGAACCTAATAGCGGCTATTGTAAGCGTTTATGACTACGGGGTCGTTTCAGAGAATAATTAGGGACCGGTTCAATCACGCAACAATAAATTGTACACCAGTGTAAACTGCGATTAGAAAGAAGAAACTAAAAGACGATAAACCGTCGATTCTTCATAGAAAGTGCTCTGTAAACAAATCAATCGATATAAAAGCACTGATTTTTTGAATCAAAGATAAAAAATCAATATCCATCGACGAGACTGACTCCTGGAAAGAGGAGAGAAAGCGCGACATCAGTTGAGACCATACGTGGTGAATATGTGCCCTCGTCGCGACTCACTGCTAATTTGATTGCGCTAGCGCTAATATTCTCCTCGTTGTCGTTGGGTCATGATAACTCGATCCTCCTCTCTCAGCGTTTTTTCTTTGTCTTAACCGGTTGACTTCCGTGGACCCAGGGGCGTACCCAGCGACTCCACCTCCTCTGCCCCGAACAGACGTCTGCTACAGCACTTTTCGTCGCAGGACCCTTAGCTAAGTTTTGGAATGATTCGTGTGCTGTCTACGCCGGCGTGTTGACTGTGTTTCTTGGGGTTATGTGGCAAGTGTAGTGTCAACATCAAGAAACGCAGTCATCGCACCAGCGCAGACCGCACTCGAATCATTCTGAAACCTAGCCGCGGGTCCTGCAGCGAAAATTAGCCGTAGTCGAAGTCTTTTCGGGATAGGGTTGAGTCGTTGGGCACGCCCGTGGATCCACGGAAGTCAAACGTTTAGAATTTTTAGTTAGCCTGTTAATATTATAGAGCTCTCTAAAGCGTCTTGAGTGTGGCGCGTATAAGGCAGAATCTCTGCCAAAATCCAGAGTAGAAATCTTTCCCAAGTCGCTTCAGATTCTTGTTGAAAATTTGTTACCCAATTATTGAAGAATGTAATCCTTTAGTAGTTTTTTGACATTATACGTAATAATGCTCGCGTTTCCTCTAAGAAGATTGAGTGATACGCAAAAATTCGACCTCAGACGGGAGTCGAACCCGCGTCTTTCCCAAACCGTAGACGCTTGCTACTTTACCACTACACCACGAGGGTCACGGCTTTGCGATCACTCTTTCTTCGATATGAACTCTCGAAACTGTTAGTAACCAACTTTTAACGAGTCCGGTCTGGTAAGCACATTTCGGCATTGAACCCATTTGGACTGATTGCTTTTCTTGCGGTTCATGTACATTTTTAGCAACAGCAGAGAAAACGACCCTTTTCGCTGGACAGAAACTTTTTGCTAGAGTTTTAGCAATCATTGGAAAGCTTAAATCTCAGGCGACTGCTGATCGTGCTCGTTTTTTAAGAAGCCAATTTACATCGTTATAGCAAATTGAAATGTTTCGTTTTCAAATGCGCACATTTCTCTTAGGGGAGAGCTTTTCGCTCGAATTATTATGCGTAACTATTCGATAGCCTAAGTTTTGACGATTCTAAAGCTGTGCTTATTTCCAGGCAAGACCGTTTCTCTGCAGTGTAGCAGTAAGAATAAGATTGAGTTTCACATACGCCGCGCATTCGCTTGTCGGCTAGTGTGAGCGCATGGCCGTGGGTCAACACACGACCAATCGATCGCGTTGACGCGACTCACATGTGGAGTGCGATTTTCGTTAATTGATTTGGGATTTCTTCTCCGCTTTGCAAAGAATTTCAGATGGAACGGATAACTGTGATACTACAAGATTTCCTCTACACGTTCAAATGCTCTGCGTGCTTCCAGCTAAATAGTAGTGAAAACGCATGACCGTTGTAAAACATAATATTATCTCGAATGCTGCAGCGTAACAGAAAGGCTTCTCCTGAGAACGGCCACGTAGCGCTCTAACCAGAGATCTAAGCTTGCAAATGGCTACTAAAACTGCATTGCAAAGTCTCCGTCCAGCGGAAGAATCGTTTTCTCACTTGTCTCCATATAACACACTAGAACCTTTTATACATGTATAATCTATACAACCTATATTACTTCAAATGAATTACTTCCTAGCGAAATCTGACCTCGGCGGAAGTTGAACTCGCGTCGAGGTAAAGAATATAGCCCTTTGAAAACTATACGGTACTTTCCGTACCGTGCCGTGCGAAGTCAATTCCCATTCAGCTACTGTAATGGCGGCGTCGCCCCCCCCCCGCCCCGTGAAAAAGGCGGCGCATCTCGTGGGAAGACAGACGCAGACAGTATGACATTCTCGCACAGAGACGCAAACACAGCCGCGCAAGCGACGCCGCGACGCCGCCAGCCTCTCAACGCGGTCCTCAGAGGGATAAGCTCGCGTTTTGTTGTGAAGTCATTCCCAGGACTGGCTATCGATTAACTTTGGCATAGAATAAATATTTCAAAACCTGCACGAAAAATTATCTCTGTACTTTTATATCTATGGGAGTAACGTGTCATTTAGTATCGAATGGAAAATTCATCTTATCGATCGATTTCAGATGTTTTCTGGAGCTCACAAACTATCAATTCGGCTATCGAAAAGAGTTCGTAGGAGTACCTGTGGTGTAGTTAGACCTTATATGTCCACAAATGAGGTAATATCAATTTTTTTACAAGTTATTGACAATTTCTACTGGCTGGAAATTTACTTAGGCTGGAACGAAGCGTTTCAGATTCGTCAGAGTTTCATAAAGTTTTTGAAAGTCATGGCCACGTGAATGTTCCATCGTCTTCAGTCCTTCCTTCATCAAATGATGCCTCGTTGCTTTTCACAAATGCTGGAATGAACCAGGTACGCACACAGAAGACAGCGCATTTTTTTTAAACTGCTAGTAATTTGTTCCCGAGGGGAAGCGATGACCTAGTGGTTAGTGATGCTCAGTACGGGCTTGATACCCCATCCCTACACTCTCCGGCAACCACTCATCGAGCGTTCGTAAGGAACGTCCCAACCTGACAAGACTCGTGGATGGCAGGGAGACTTGCCCTACCAGTATTCTACGACGTTCCTGAGGAAGACGAAACCTCCAGCAAGCGGTGAATGCGAAGAGATGAATTAAGCGGTAGAAGTAGTGGAATCCTCACAATGAAATGTGAAGACGGGTCGTATCAGATAAATTTTAAAAAGTTTTCGATTGCTAAAGTAAAAAGCCAAGGGCTATAGAGAATTGTTGAAGGAGCCTTGTCTAGTCACTCTAAAGATTTTTGGCCATGTTGAATGCTTTTGCTTTTACTTTTTTCTAGTTAGGATTTTGAAAACATTTGGAGCAAGATAAAAAAGGATAAAGGATAAAGCTCTCGACGTTGATCAATCCCTGAGGGATGCGCCATGCATTCAACTTCAATTTTTAATTTCGTTTGAGGTGATTGAATGCATATCTGGCCTTTACAATGACTCGCGGTGGCCTCCCGCTGAACCGAGTCAGTGCTGCTTACCTCCCAGACAAGTCTGAAACCTGTCTGGTACCAATTTACCGACCCCGGAGGGATGGATGGCTTGGTGAGCCATGAGCGCGAGATCGAACCATTGAACTCGTGTGCGACGCAGAGTACCTCTAACCACTGCGCCACATGCGCTCTGGAGAAAGATGTGAATTTCAAAATCTAAACGCCAGCACTGCAATTGTCAGCAATTTCGAGGCATCACCATGTTTTGCTAGAATGGTTTATTCAGTTGTTTGGCTGCCTGAAGTAGGAAAAAGGGACACATGAGAAGACCGCTTGGCAAAGATTTTCTAGAATCTTCGAAATATTAGGATTTTGCCTCGACTCAATGTTGTCCTTCAGGATATCTGCAAATTCTAAGTGTTTTCATTTCTGTTGACAAAGTTTATCGCGATAAGAATAATGGTTATTTCCAGAAGTGTTTTTATCTTCGCACTTGCGACTCGTATAGGTGTAATATGGTTCGTATCGTGGTGTGTAAACATATTCGGAACGGCGTGCATAATATTCCATGCAAGGAGATCAACGCAGCTGAATGAAGGCGCGCTATAGACAGTGTTGCTATCGAGGAATGCTTATGTCCGTGATCCGCTATAGCATGCTGAATTCTCATTATTTTTGAAAATCGCTTCACCGATTTTTGATTTTAATCGGAAATGGTTGTTTTGGGTATGATGTAAGAGCATAGAGCGTATGTGCGCACACGAGCTCAATGGTTCGATCTCGCGCTCATGACTCACCAGCCATCCATCTCTCCGGGGTCGGTAAATTGGTACCAGACAGGTCTCAGACTTGTCTGGGAGGATAAGCAGCACTGACTCGGTTCAGCGGGAGGCCACCGCGAGTCAGTGTAAAGGCCAGATATGCATTCAATCACCTCAAGCGAAGTTAGAAGTTGAAGACGAATGCTTGGCGCATCCCTCAGGGATTGATCAACGCTGAAAGCTTTATCCTTTATCCTTTATTAAGAGCATATCAAAGTTAGAAGACAAACATTCTAATTTTGTTTTCTTAGAATTAACAACTTTATCACATGTTGAAACTTTGAAAGTTTCTTTTCGTTCATCAAAGTCAGGCTCGAATCGCGCTCTCGAACGGCGTTGTTGCTCACTCCAGTCGCGCCCGCGTTGCATTCTCGGCTCGCGCTCCAGTAGCACGTCCAATCGCAATCCATTTGTACTCCGTCCCGAAAGTGTAAATGCACTTCAGAGCTTCAGTATTGGGAGTTTGGTCTTGTATGATAGGATATTTTCAAAAGAACAATTTTGCGACAGCATAAAGACATTTCTTTCTTTTAGAGATAGCCTAATATTTGATATATACGTAAGTCAATATTGATTTGATTATAGTAAACCTATCAAGATTCAGTGGAATCTACAGAGCTTCCGGGCAGAGTAAAGTTTCTTTGTTCTACGAGAACGAAATTGAGTACATGAAGTCAATGAAACCTATTTATACGTCTTTTTTTTTTTGCTCTATAACTCCTGTTTGAGCGCCGTGGCCGAGTGGTTATGATGCTCGTCGCAGCGCACGTGGGGCAGATCCCCACCTCTCAGCACTTTTCCGCAGTCAACAACGAGCGCCCTATGGAACATTACAATGTGG